AAGTTTTGTCGCGATATCTGANATGCCAATTCAATATTAAAAATTAACAAAAGTGGCATACGTAAAGGTTTGTTGCTAAAAATTATTTTTAAAGTTTAATAATTAGCATACCTGAATATGAAAGTAATGTTGAAGTAAGTTCATCGTTGTATTTTTTCAACATCTTAATTTCATTTCTATATACTTCAAGTTTGACTTTTAATCTTTTAATTTTTTTGTTGTAGTTATATAGAACTTTTCTGGTAGTTTTTAATAATATATCTAATTTTTTAGCTTTCCTTTTCAAGCTTCTAGGTGTCAATGCATCAATACCAGTCTGTAAAATTTTTCATTTTCCTTTCAACAACTTATATTAAGTATTTTAACAATCATTTATAATTCTGGTTATAGTTATAGAAACATGTGTTAAAATACTAAATTACATTTTTCACTATTTTTTATTTATTAAATGAACCATCATACATACAAACCAATTTAACAATTGATGTTGATGGAACTGCAACATTTTCTAAAGATGCAACATTTTCTATCTGAAGTTTGAATATTACACATGAATGAATGTATGCATCAAAGTATGTGTGGTAGATTCATCATAAACTTTATGAAATAAATACCTTGAACATGTGTATCTTACATATGTGTATCTTCTTATTGACATAAAATAAAAAAAATAAATATTAATTGTAGCACATGCAATCAGTAATATATTAATCTAAGTAAATTTATATTTAAACAAACATACTGGTTCATCAGTTGATTTTTTCTCTATCATTATTGGTGATTGCATTTCAGATAGAGTATCTGCTTGATCATTTGATAAAATCTGAAAATGATAAATATTCAATACACTTGATTGTGTGATTTGCAGGAACAAATATCTAATTAATATACTAACTATAATATGTTAGTGTCTTGCAATTAATTAATTAGTGATTCATTTTTCATGATGCACTAATAATTAGTTATTTCTTTATTTTAAATTTTTAATGTTAATCTTAATGTTAGTTTAATTTTTTTTTAAACTATTTAAATTAGAAATTTTTTATTAGTTACAAAAAGAACAAAACCTTTGGAAACACTGTAGGAACTGATGTTTTTTTGAGCAACATTTTAGAACCTTCTTTGTAAAAGCATTCTTGTAAAAAATGCCTACTGCAGATGAAGATATTTTTTCTACTACAAAAATTTGTAATATGATTTTTTATATTCCCTTCCCACTGTATTCTTTGACTGTCATCTTTTGGTAGTCTGGTTTGGTTTTATTATTGTAAAAAAAGCTTAACTATTTTATGTTAAAATTTTACTATTATTATATTAATTATACATACCTATGTAAAGTTACGCCGATATCTTTATAAGACCCATGACATTTGGATATTGAGCACATGGGCATGGTTAAACTTAACGTATATAAAATAATTAAACAAATAAGAAAATGACAGACGATGATCGGTTAAAAACTGATTACTTCCTTTAACTTAAATTCACTTTTAAACAATTATTGCTATTCTATGCATCAAATTTGTTAGATTTACCTTGATGTTATATATATATATATATATGAAAAATGTATGTATATATAACGCTTCTGCCATATCCATATTATATATATCCATGCGTATAATACTTTTTATTATTTTGCATGGAACCGACGTCAAAGAAACTGGGCGATAATTTGTTGGTACCGTTTTGTCGCCTTTTTTGTAGATCGGTGTAACGTTTGCTGATCAGAATTAAAGTAGAAGCTGGCTGGTAGCCAATCAAGCTTGGAATATCAAAGCAATAGGTACAGCAAAGGCTTCTGCACAATTTTTTAACAAGGCTGGATGGAATTTGTCAACACCACAAGATTTGTTTATATCAAGCTTTTTGATTTTATCCAAAACCATGTTCAAACTGAAATCATCTGGCATCATATCTATAAACTGTTCACGCTTACTTTTATTAATCTCAAAAATTGGAATGTCAGAATCATCTTCAACAACAAAAACTTCCTGGAACGCTGCATTCATAAGATTCACAATTTCATCTGGATCGTGACTTATTTCGCCACTAGGTTTCCTCAAAGACTTTACTGACTCCCTTACCGTTTGTTGATTGTTCAAATATTTGAAGAGAATTTTAGAATTATTCTTAGCTCGTTCTACTAGTGTTACCTCATAACGAAGACGTGCTTTGTCGATTTCAGTCTTAACAAATTTACAAAAATCCTTATATTATTGTTATGTTATTTTTGTATTTTAAACACTTTTTTTCTGATAAGTGATTACATGATAAGTGATTTCTGATAAGTGAATTTATCCATGGAACTGTTTTATTACTGCTCATTGTTGCATTAACTATAGGCACAAAAAGATTGCACACTTCTTTTGTGTAATAAATAAGCTCATCATACATTTCCTGTGGAGTCATATTTTCTAATAATTTAAACCAATCAACATTGGATATCACACGAGAAATTTCTTCAAAGTTTCTTTTAATATATAAAAATTTGTATTTGTGCTTTTGTGAATCCGAAATGACATTTCTCAATAGAAAATCAAAGGACAAAATCAAGTGACCTTGACTGATATTGCCAAGAACACAAATTGGATCCACAGAGCATATATTACCCGATTCTGTTGTTAAAATCAATTCCAAAATATTCTCTGTCACACCGCTGAATTTTTGAAATGTTTGTACATCGACATGTTGGTAGAGGAATGTCTCACTGAATATCGTTGAATTTATGTTCAATGCCACTAACATTTTTTATTGAAACAATTGATCCATTTGACCAACCTATTAATGGGAAATTAAAATCTCCCATTATTAGGACATCTTTAAAACTTTTTCTGTCAACATAACTTTTAGCCTGTTTTAAAACTAGTTAGAAATCATCCATATCTACAAAATAATCTGGTCTTTAGATACAGCCAATATCATTTTCAAAATAAATTACTGCCCACACCTGTTCAACATTGCTTCTACTAAAAACACCATCTGTGACCTCATATGAATTAACAGATGAGTTGATAAACAAACACACTCCACCACCACAGCGTCCATCATTTCTATCTTTTCTATACACTTTAAAGTTGTTTATGTTAATGATTGAGCTAGCTTCAACGTCCTATGTTTATAAGTCGGTTGTTAAAAGAAGCATTATGAATAAAGACTAAGTTTTGTGTGAATATTAATAACCACAAAAAATTGAAATCACACGCGCACACACACACACACACACACATATAAATATGTATATATATATATATATATATATATAGTTGTTCAAAAAATCCACCGACGATTCAGCATTAACAAGTTTTATGGTTGATTTTCTAATATTTTGAACTAGTTCTTTACAATTAAGTCTATTCAAAATGTTGAAATTCATTTTATAATTGTTTATGATTTTAATTGTTAAAATTAATCAAGCAAGATCCCATTTTTATAATCGTTTATTTTTTATATTATTATTAAAGTTATGCATATAGATCTATTTCGACGTAAAGTCATCATCAGTGCAATATATATTTTAAATAAATTCTATTAATAGTTAATTAGTTGTATTTTTTAATATATTAAAATAAAATAAAAGTAACGAAATAAAAACGCAAAGGTTCATTGAAATTAGTAAACAAAATATTTGAAATTATACGATTGTTCATGCTACGTGGCCGTTGTCAAGATGGCAACCAACAATGTCACAAATTTGAAGCGCGAAATTAATTAGAATATCGTTTCTATTATTATTATTATTATTAATATTATTAATTATTATTTTTATTATTATTATCATTATTATTATTATTATTGTTATTATCATTATCGTTATCATTATCATTATTATTATTATTATTATTATTATTATTATTATTATTATTATTATTATTATTATTATTATTATTATTATTATTATTATTATCATCATCATCATCATTACCATTATTATTATTGTTGTTGTAGTTGTGTTCTTTTTATTGTGCTGTGT